GGTTGCCAGGCCCAAGACCTTTCTACCCTACTGTTTTCAGGATCATCTGCTTCTCAAGATGTTTACAAAGAGATAAATGAAAAAGGGAAGAAAAGGTACTTTAGTTATTCTATTAAGAGCAATGAGCATATTTTCTAGATTCTTATACGTAAGAGTCTGTTAAACTATAAACATGTTGACAATAGGGATTTTTGTTGGCATATATGCCTCAAAGCTTGGATAATAGCAACACTATTTGTTGCAGAGCTTTTAAGTCATTCTGAGTTTCTGCAAGTTTTTAAAGCAAAAAAACTTTTCCAAAATGCCTGCTAAAAACATGGCATCAATAATTAGTCCCAGCAAATGGATTCAGAATCAATCAAAACATTAAAGTCAGACTGAAGAAGCACAAGTGTTCTCAAGGGAACATACTATTTAATGGGCAGATCAGACACCAAGGATCAAAACTGTTAATATTTTACCATGAAGTTCCTTATTTGAAGTATACTTGTGAAAATTTTAGGATGATGAATTTATTTTCTAATACAAAAATCAAATTGAAAGCACATTCAGGTCAGGTGTGGTGGCTCACGCCTATAATCACAGCACTTTGGGAGGTCAAGGTGGACGGATTACTGGAGGTCAGGAGTTCAAGACAAGCCTGGCCCACATGGTGAAACCCCGTCTCTACTAAAAATACAAAATTAGCTGGGTGTGGTGGTACACGCCTGCAATCCCAGCTACTTGGGAGGTTGAGGCAGGAGAATCCATTGAACCTGGGAGGCGGAGGTTGTGGTAAGCCGAGATCACACCACTGTACTCCAGCCTAAGCAAAAAGAGCAAAACTCTATCTCAAAAAAAGAAAGAAAGCACATTCAGAATAATCAAGGAAAGAGTGATTTTTAATCAATTAAAATTCACTTCCAACTTATTGTATTTCTTCTGGACTACTGAGAAAATAGGGTCCCATACAATTATAGTCACCCATTTGGCTTATCTTTAAGAAAACTTCTGGCTGAGCGCGGTGGCTCACGTCTATAATCCCAGCACTTCAGGAAGCCAAGGCGGGTGCATCACGAGGTCAGGAGATCGAGACCATCCTGGCCAACATGATGAAACCCCGTCTCTACTAAAAATACAAACATTAGCCGGGTGTGGTGGCATGTGCCTGTAATCCCAGCTACTCAGGAGGCTGAGGCAGAAGAATCACTTGAACC